AGAGAGAGAGAGAGAGAGAGAGAGAGAGAGAGAGAGAGAGAGAGAGAGAGGCGCTGATTGTCTTATATAAACCATCAACTAGCATAAACTGAAATGGAAGTTCAAGTGAGACAAACGCTAGGGAAAGGAAGAATACTCAGGAGAGGCTCGCCTTTAGGCAAGAGGGAACACACTGTAAATTGCCAAAAAGCAAGTCCATAACCACTAGGTGGCCTTTCTTTATATTCTGGAGTCTGCTAAAACCAAGCTTAATCTTCCTGACCCTCTGCAGAAATTGGCTAGGTCTCTGACAGATAGCAAAACAATAAAGTTAATGCAATTTCCAAGGTGACCTGCTTGACAGTAGTAAAAAGACTTGTATAAAATTTGTTATTGGGGCTGGAGAGATGGCTCAGCAGTTAAGAACACTGTTCTTGCAGAAGACCCGGGTTCGAATCCCAGCACCCACATGACAGCTAACAACTGTCCATAACTCCAGTTCCAGGGGATCCAGCAGCCCCTTCTGTCCTCTGTGGGCATTGCACAACACGGGTGCACTTACCTACATGCAGGCAATACACACATACACATAAAATAAAAATAAAAAATAAAATATTTTTTTAAAAAATTTGTTATCATAGCTGGGCATGGTGGCACACACCTTTAGTCCCAGCACTTGGGAGGCAGAGGCTGATGGATCTCTGTGAGTTCAAGGCCAGCCTGGTCTACATAGTGAGTCCCAGGCTAGCTGGGGCTACAGAGAGACCCTGTCCCAAAAAGACAAAAAAAAAAAAGTGTGTGTAATCTATGAACAATTACACTATTATTGACCTGTTTTAACAGATAAGGAAACTGAGTCTCACATATTCAAGTGACTACTCACCAGGTATTTACAAAGAGACACTCACTGTGCTAGGCACCAGGTATTGAAGCTAAGGGCTAGGAACTAGTAGAGTCAGAATCTGAACCTGGGCTTGATTCCATGCCCTGGCCATTCAAGTACTGTTCAGTAAAAAGAACAATTTAGGTATTAGCCCCCTGTTCCTATGAAAAATATCCTGATCCCCCAAATTTACTTGGCTTAACCTTCAGTAAGGACAACTGAGTCTGACTTATACAACCACTATAGTTTCAAACTGGTGGATAATTGTTTAATTATAATATTGAACAATGGCCTCAAATAATTTAATTTTTCTTCATTTTATCACAAGACAGAGACTGTACATTTAAAAAATAGAAACCTTGGGGCTGGAGAGATGGCTCAATGGTTTAAGAGCACTGGCTGTTTTTGCAGAAGACTTAAGATTCGAATTCCAACACCCACATAGCAGCTAACAGCTGTCCATTACTCCCGTTCCAGGGAATCTGACACCTTCTGTCCTCTGAGGGGAATGCATGACATGGGTGCACTTACATACATGTAGGCAATACATGCATATACATAAAATAAAAATAATAGAATATTTTTAAAAATGGAAACCAAGGGCCAAAGAGATGGCTCAGTCAAAGTGCTTGCTATGCAAGCCTGACAACCTGAGTTCAATCCCTGGAACGCACGGTGGAAGAACTGACTCTGAAAAGTTGACCTCTGACCTCTATGTGCATGCCACACATACACACATCACACACACACACACACACACACACACACACACACGAATAAAATCTAAAGGAAGAAACAAAAATCCTAATCCATGATGAAACAGATAAAGAATACATGCACAATGGGAAAGAAATGGTGTGAAAATGACTGAACATATGGTTTCTCCATGATTGTATTTTAAGACTGAATTATATTTATCAACAAACTGCTTTTAAAATTGTGGTAGTAAGCCAGACATGGTTAAGAGCACTGGCTGCTCTTGCAGAAGACCTGGGTTCGAGTCCCAGTACCAACATGGCAGCTAACAACTGTCTGTAACCCCAGTTCCAGGGGATCCATTGTCTTCTTCTAGATGCAGGCACTGCATGACATAGGTGCACTTACAAACATGCAGGCAATGTGCATAAAAAAAAAATAGAACAACAAGAAAATTACAGGATAACTCAGCTTTTAAACAGACAACAAAAATCTGTAAAACAGTATAAGGAAACTGAATATCCTACCTTATACCATAAACAAGAATAGGACAATCTCAAATGAATAATATATGAGTTCAAGACCGGCCTGGGTACACAGGCCCCAAGCAGAACAAAACAGAACAAAACAGAACAGAACAGAACAGAACAAACAAAAAATAAAACAAAAACCATAAGACAGCAGCTCTATAATCTTGGAGTAGCCAAGGTTTTGTTCTTTGGTTTTGTTGGGTTTCTGAGACAGGCTCTCTCTATAGCCCCAGTTTGCCTGGAACTTACTGTGTAGACCAGGCTAGCCTCAGTCTCATAGACAGCCACCTGTTTCTGCCTCCCACATGCTGAGTTTAAAGGTATATGCTACCACAGCTGGCAGTAGCCAGGTATTTTAAAACAGAAATCAACATCAACACAAAAATGAAGGACTGATATATTAGACTTTATGAAAATTAAAAACAAACTTTAAAAAGAGATAGCTTATCAGTTAAGAGTACTTACTACTCTTGCAGAGGACTAACTCAGGTTTGGTTCCTAGCACCCACATCAGTCAGCCTGCAACCATATGTAACTCCAGTCCAGGGGACCCCACTCCCAATTTTGGCCTCTGCAGGCACCTAAATGAATATGATGCACATATATACATACTCAGGCATACAAATACATACATTTAAAAAAAGAAGACTGGATATGGTGGAACATGCCTTTAATCCCAGTATTCTGGAGCTAAGGTAGTTAGGTGAAGTCAGCCTGGTCTACATAGTAAGCTCCAGGCCAACCAGCTACATAGCAAGACTGTCTCAAAAAATAACAAAAAACAAAACACATGACAAAATTTGGATGTGCTCCATATAAAAGTATTAATATGTTCTGCAAAATGTCTTAAATGAAAAAGAAATATCATGTGTTGATAAGGAATATTTCTTACTTAGTTGGTGTAAGTGTATAGCCAGGCACCCTTCTGAAACTAATGGCAGCTTCTACTAACATCAAATGTATTTATTTTATTTTATTATTTTTAAAATATTATTTTTTATTTTATGTGTATGCATGTATTGCCTGCATGTAGATA